AGCGGCACAGCCGCCCTTGCTTGCGCCCCCTGCGCCGCCAGCACCCGCCGCTGCCTCGGACGACGACGAGAGCCCCCCCGACGATTGGACCGACTCGAGCAGCGCCCAGGACTAGAGCAGCGACGACCCCGACCCGAACAACGACGCGGACCAGGAGCAGAAGGAAGACCAGCCGAGCGAGCACAACCTCCTGGGCGAGCTGAAGCTGGAGAACCAGCTCCTGCGCAAGGAGAGCGAGCAGCTAAAGGAAGACGCGCTGCGCCTTCGACAGGCCAACCAGCGCTTGGAGCTCGAGCTCAGCAAGGAGGCGGCCGCGCCGAACGGCTCCTGAGCTGCGGCGGCGGCTCGGCAGGACGGGGAGAGCATGCGCCTTAGGCGAGCTTGCCCGCGCCGCGGCCGCGCGCGGGAGCCTGGAGAAACAATCATCACCATCGTCGTGACACGCCCGCAGGAAACGCGAGGGAACGCAGGGGGGCAACAGGAGCCGACGCCAGAAACACGCTCGAGAGACACACGAAAGGACCTTGGAGGACGCCCAGGGAAAAACCCGGGGGGAGGGCAGCAGGAAAACTCAGGAAACATCATCACCAATGCGAACAAGAGATGGTGTCCTCACAGCTGCTATTTTGGCTCAAAATAGTGTTCAAATTTGTGTTCACCCCTGTGCTATGAAGCGCCCTGCCGCTTCCGCTGCCCGCGCGGCGAAGCGCCCCGCTGCCGCCGTTCGCGGCGCGAGGAAGGTCGCCATCGCCCAGCGCCCCGCGGCCGCGTTCAAACTCTCCCCAGAGCCCAAGAGGGGGAAGGCCCGCACGCAAGGCAGCAAGGGGAAGGAGAAAGGCACGGTTTCCTACGTTCGCACCATTAATGGCACCAAGAAGACACGGAAGGAGCGCAACGCGTGGTGTCGCAACTTCGACTCTTCCAACACGGGAAACGAGAGCGAGCTCGTGGACCTCCTGATCAAGGACGGGTTCCCCCTCGATTGGCCAGGGCTGACGTGCCCATTTTGCGGGAAGGGTCGGCAAACGTTGCACCAGGGAATGGGAGGGCGGTTCGGGCTGCGCGCGGCGGTGCAACGACGGGAGGAACTGTGGCGAGCAGGTGCGCCCCACCCACTGCCACCCCATGTTCGCCGGTGGCTGGGGGAAGGAGACGTTGTCGTTGAAGGACAAATGCAGGGTCATGTTCGGCATCCTCACGGGGATGACGACCGCGCAGGTCCACCAGCACTACGGCACCAACCACAAGATGATCGAGGCTATGACCCGCAATCTGGACCTTGCCCGCGAGCAGTACGTGGAAAAAAAAAAAAAAACGAGAAGGACATCGTGCACGGCAACGGCAAGACGCGGGTGGACGTCGAGGCCGACGAGTCCGCCTTCGCTTCTGCGGCCCCGGAGGACGAGGAGATGAAGGAGCGGGGGCAGTGGGCAGGCGTTGTGCAGCGGGGCGAACCAGAGACCCTGGCGCTGTTCAGAACTGAGTCGGACCGCGCGACGAAGAAGGCGCCTGGCCCAGGCGCCATCAATAATACCGACTGGGAGCCCTTCCTCTTGGACCGCCCCAAGGATCGCGAGGTGATTCTCCACTCGGACGGCGCCAGGAGCTACAGGATGAAGGCCCCGGGGATGTTCCACGACTCCGTCAGTCACTGCGAGAAACGCGGGAAGCGCGGGGGGGAGTGGGTGCGGGCCAAGCCCGTGCATTCCAAAATCGCGAAGCACAAGACCCCGAGCGGCACGGCGCTGAAGGTGAAAGCGGGCACGCGGATCATCGACAGGGCGCGGAAGCACGTCAAGCACCACATTGGCCACCGCATTTATAAGCCGCACAGCAGGGCGATTGCCGCGCGCATCCGCTCCGCGCAGTGGGAGCACTGGCATCGCGGACACGACCTGCGGTCGGCCACGGGCGAGATGCCGCGCGACTCGACGGGGTCCGCGTTCAGATCTGCAACAGCTCAAGAGCACTTGTGATAGCTGGCGTTCTATCCAGATTGCGATGTATATACGCCATTCGCTGGCGCGGCTCGAGGCTGCTGAGCGGGGTGCCATTCCGCAAGGGGGGCGCGGCAATCGGCCAATGCTGCCCCGCTAAATTCACGGGGCCTGCACGCGCACGACTTCTCCCCCATTGACAAACGAGGGGCGTGGGAGGAGGCGGGGGGGGGGGGCGCGCGCGTCGCGCGCGGCAGTCGCGGCTGCGTCCGCAGGCGGTAGCGCTGTTCCGCTGCGTTCCAGGTTCGAGCGACCGCCGTCGCGCTGCCCCCCGCCGCCAGGCTTTCGCTTCAAGCTTCCGTTTGCGCCCGCTCTCTGCCACGGCGAGCCTGACAGCTGGCGGCGCCACGTCAATGGGGGAGATCGTCAGCGGCGACGCCTCCGCCACTGATCAAAACGCGAACGCGCGGCTGCGCATGGCTGCGGCGCAGTCCTACAGGAAGCTCGACAAGCCCGAGCGCTTCCAATCGGACCCCCCCCCCGCTGCGTTCGACCTCCGCGACGTGCCGCTCCAATGCGCGGACAGCGCCGCGAGTCTGAAGCACGCGGTGGATTGGGTGACGCTGGAGGATGGCGCCGCGGAGCAGTTGGACACAGTCGACGCGCATGACGCCACGCGCGCGGGCAACTACACGGCGCTGCCAGCCCCGTTTAAACCTAGCAAGGACCCTGGCGAAATCGCGTTCACCACGCAGCTCTACATACTGCATAAGGACGCGAACGGCGAGCAGCACGCACTGAAGCACGCCAGGTTCGACAGCAAGGTTCGGGCCGACATCGCCGAGGATGTCTTCGCGAATGGCAGGGCGCCCGCCGTCCACTGGGGGGGCTCGGCCGACATTAAGACGCCGCTCGAGCTCTTCTACTGCGCGATGGACAGGCTGGGCGAGGCGCAGACAAGCCATTGAGCTCAGCCGTCCGTGGTCGCAGCCGTCGGCGGCGGCGGTTACGACGAGGAAAAACGAAGAGCTGGCAACCGCATCATAGAGGAGTTCGGCCCGAGGGCAAACAACCGCAATCAATTCGCGGAGTGGACCAGCGGAAAGATTAACGACGAGCACTCGCCGATCTTCGGCTGGCAGGCGGCCGAGGTCAAGGAGTCGCTCCGCAATTGCGCGCGGGGCAGCGTTGGCGCAGGGGCACTCGAGCGCTGGGCGGTCGCGCTCAAGCGCATCCACCCGTTCGCGCTCGACAACGTCGCGGCCCCCATTCTCAAGAGCCACGACGTGCACGGGGCCATGTGGATTGGCAAGGCCAGGGTCGGCAAATCCACAGCGTCGAAAACCATCGGCTTCGCCATCTCCGCCTACCAGATCGATAAGAACGGCCGCGCCGACTTCCGCCCGAGCGCCGCCACGACGAAAGAAATCGACTTCTTGCGGCTCGAACCTGGAACTGCGTTCAAGCCCGCTATCGCAGACGACGCCGCCCTCACAAAGTGGACCCCCGATGAGACCAAGGCCTTCCTCGACCCCGCCGAGGAAGTCGCGCTGTCGCGGGCGAGGCCGCGGGGCGCGGGCAACGCGCGCCATCAAAAAATCATGAAACGCCAAACGGCGGCAAAGCATTTGTTCCGCGTATGTTTTGATGCGCGCCGTTTCCCGCGCGCTGCATAGGTGGGGCGGCGCCTCCTTCGAGCAGAACCAGCCCCGCCAGATCTGCGCCAACCCGCGCGATGAGAAGTTCGAGAAGAAGGTGCGTTCCATCCGCGGAGGCAAGGAAGAGATCAAATTCGACGACTTCTTCAAAACCATCGATTGCAACTTCGCGGGCGATAAGCAGAGCGGCTACCACGTGGCGGACGTGGAGGCGTGCGTGGCGAGGTCCAACATCTCGCTACTCACTGAGGGGTGGACGCACCTGCGGCTTGCCAGGACCAGACTTTCGCACCGCCCGGCTACGACATTCACATGAAGTGGGCCGTGGCCGCCATGAGGAAGCTTGCTCGGGGCTACGACGCCGGGCGCTCGAATGCGATCCGCGGCCCCACGCTCTTCAACCAGGGCGCGCCCCCGAGGCGCAACTTCCCTGGGATGGGCGGTGACACGGACGTCGGCGCCGACGCCCCCGCCGCCGCCAGCGCGGCCGTGGCCCCCGCGCCCGCCCCCCCAGTCAACCCTGATGACGATGACGACGACATTGGTCTCGGCGGCGGGATGGGCGGCGCCGCCGACGCAGGTGGCGAGCCAGACGTCTTTGGTTTCGGCGGCGGGATGGACGGCGACGACGGCCCCTCCGACGCGGCCGCCGCGGCCGCGCCCCCCGCGCCTGCCGCGCCGATCAAGAGGGGGACAGGGGCGTTCCGCTTCTGCCTCGAGAAGCCCCAGGGGCCCATTGACTTGAGCACGCCGACGCCGAAGAAGAAGCGCATGACCCTCGATGAGGAGCTCTCGCAAATGACAGGCGAGGGCGAGGTGGCGGGCGCCGCGGCTGCGAGTTCGAGCGATGTCGCGCCAGCGTGAAAGCGCTCGCGGTGGCTGGCGCTCTGAGGGGTGCGATGTATACACGGCGCTTGCGATTGCGGCTGGAGGCCGCTGAGATGGGGTGCCATTCTGCAACGGGCGGGGCAGCAAGCGGGCAACGCTGCCCCGTTGGAGTTACCTGACCCGCACGCGCGCGACGTCTCCCGACAAGCAAACACGGGGGGCGCGCGGCAGTCGCGGCAGCGGCCGCAGAGAGCGAGAGAGAGAGGGGGGGGGGGGAAACGCGCGAGAGAGAGAGAGAGAAAGAAAGAAATTGAATGAGGGGATCGGTGGGGAGGGTGGTATTGAACACACGTTGTGTCTTCCAGGTTTTCCAGATTTGCCAGATTTTCCTAGACACTGACACTTGAAAAACGTTGTGTATTCCATCTGTTTCAGATATTCTAGATCTTCCCAGAGACTATGTGTTTCCAGATGTTCCAAGTATTTCAGATCTTCCCAGAGACTACCCCGGTGAAAAACGTTGTGTTTTCCAGATGTTCCAGATATTCCAGATCTCCCCAGAGACTACCCTGAGCTTGCAGCATAGTCTCTGGGAGGATCTGGAATAGCTGGAAAATCTGGAAGACACAGCGCTTCACCAGGGCAGTCCCTGGGAGGATCTGGAATATCTGGAACATCTGGATAACGCAACGTTTCTTACATAACAGCGAAGACTGATAGGTTTCTAGTAAGGTCCAAAGAAAGCATCATGACGCCCCAGGGGGGTCTGGGCGCGATCCGGGGGAGTGCCGGGGGCTTACACACTTCGTGCTCTTCGAGGTCCCAGAATTCCACTCCCGGGCCACACTCTGAATGCCCGGAGCCAACTATAAGCCACTTCGTGGTCTTCGAGTTCCCAAAACTCCATTCCCGGGCCACATTTTGAATGCCCAGAGCCAACTGTAGGCCACTTCGTGCTCTTCGAGTTCCCAAAACTCCACTCCCAGACCACATTTTGAATGCTTGGAGCCAACTGTAGGCCACTTCGTGGTCTTCGAGTTCCCAGAACTCCATTCCTGGACATGATTCTGAATGCCCAGAGCCAACTGTAGGCCACTTTGTGTTCTTCGAGTTCCCGGAACCGCACTCCCGGGCCACATTTTGAATGCTGGGGCAGGCTGATGCTGAGGCTGAAGGCAGGCTGAGGCTGAGGCAGGCTGATGCTGAGGCAGGCTGAGGGTGAGGCTGAGGCTGATGCAGGCTGAAGCTGAGGCAGGCTGAGGCTGAGGCCGAGGCCGACGGCAGACTGAGGCTGAGGCTGAAGCAGGCTGAGGCTGAGGCAGAGGCAGGCTGAGGCTGAGGCTGAGGCAGGCTGATGCTGAGGCAGGCTGAGGCTGAGGCTGAGGCTGATGCAGGGTGAGGCTGAGGCAGGCTGAGGCTGAGGCCGAGGCTGAAGGCAGACGGATGCTGAGGCTGAAGCAGGCTGAGGCTGAGGCTGAGGCAGGCTGAGGCTGAGGCAGGCTGAGGCTGAGGCTGAGGCAGGCTGAGGCTGAGGCTGTGACTGCCACTGCCGTTGCCACCGCGACTGCCATCGCGAATGCGACTACGACTGCGAGAACAACAGAATTCTACGACAGGATTCTCATCTGAATCTTAAGGGGAATGCTTCCAGATATGCTCCTACACATCGCTGTTAGTTTGCTTTGCCGGGAAAAGTTTATCATGGCAGTGTCTGGGAAGATCTGGAATATCTGGAAAATATAGACAAAACAGCGTTTTTCACCAGGGTGGCCACTGGGGAAAAAACTTGGACAATCTCGTGAACACAACGTCTTTCACCAGGGCAGTCTTTGGGGAGATCTGAAATACTTGGAAAATCTGGTAAACACTCCGTTTTTCAACGGTTAGTGTTTGGAGAAGACGGCATTCCAATAGAAGGAGAAGACGGAGACGAAGCGATCGAGGATGAGGAGGAGTATGTATGACCCGAGGGAGGGAGACTATATATATATGTGTATACATATACATATACATATACATATATATATATATATATATATATATACATATATACATATATATGTGTATATATACATACATGCATGCATGCATACATGCATACATACATACATACACACATACATACATACATACATACATACATACATACATACATGCATGCATGCATGCATGCATGCATGCATACGTACATACATACATACATACATACATGCATACATACATACATACATACATACATACACACACACACATACATACATACATACATACATACATACATACAGACAGACAGACAGACAGACAGACAGACAGACATACATACATACACATATACATACAAGACTGCAGTGGCGCTTCGAGCCTTGCACCTTGGTCCTTGAAGTTTGGAACGCAGGCGGAATGGAAGGAAAGTCAAGCCGACTATTTAGCGATAACTCCTGGTTGCCTTTTTCCGGCATCGCCGCAATAATGATGTTATTCGTTATCTTTCCTCCATGCTTATTGTTCCTTATTTTCGCCATACCCTGCGCATTCTCCCCATCCTCCTCAACTCTTTTTTTTCCGAGGCTCCTCCTTGGAGAGCCTCTAGGGGCCTCACAAAAGTTGTTTCGGGCTTTCTTAAGGCCTTCTGGAGGCCTCCCGGGCGTTTTCTGGGGGCCTCCGGGGGTTTCCTCGGGCCACCGTGCCTCCAACAGCCGTCTCCCTGAACGACCGAATCACGTTTCGGAATTATTCGGAGGGTGTCTTTGGGCCATTTTGGGCCGCCATGGGGCTCTCTGAAGGCCATATTGGACCCGTGTTGTGCCGTTTTGGGGCTCTCTTGGACTGCTTGGAAGCCCTTTCGGATGGTTGTGGGGCGATTTGGGAGCCTCCCAGGCGGCTTCGGACGCCCGGAAGACCGCCGTCTTGGAGCGTCGGGAAGCCGAAAAGAGGAGAACCCCAACATTCGCCAAAAACCTACAGAACATCCATGATGTTTGCCTCGGGGGGCCTTCTTGGAAGTGCTCTTGGAGGCCTCTTTGGGGCCGTCCTGGAGGCCTCTTGGGCCATCTTGAGGTCACGTCGGTCACTCTTGGAGCACTCTTGCGCTGTCTTGGGGGTCTCTGGGACGTCTCCGATGACCACCCTGATCGCCCTAAGTGTGCTGGGAAGGCTTGGCAAAACGCCCTGCGAGGCCCGGTGGCCGCTTCGAGGCCCGTCCGGAGGACCCCAAAGCCCCAGGTCCCGGGAGTGCTTTTTTTTTCCCCACATCCTAAGTGGGGTTCTTGTTTTCTCTGCACACCCTCCGCGCAGGATCTCTCGTCCTCCTCCCTCTCCTCTGCTCCTCTTTGCTTCCTCCTCCGCATCATCACCATCACCATCACTCCCCACCCATCATCATCATCATCATCATCATCATCATCATCATCATCACCATCATCATCATCATCATCACCATCAGCATCACCATCACCATCGCACGATCACTCACCATCATCAGCATCGAACGATCATCATCATCGTTATCATCATCATCACTACTCGCTGACTCACCACTTCGTCCCCATCATCATCACCACCATTTACCATCATAATCGCACGATCACTCACCATCAGCACTCATCATCACCACCATCATCATCATCACGTCGTCACCACCACCACCACCACCACCACCACCATCATCATCATCATCATCATCATCATCATCAGCATCATCATCATCATCATCATCAATCATATATCATCATCAAACACCGTCGTCATCATCCCGTCACCATCATCCACCAAGAGGGAGCCTCGTCTGTGAGTGAATTGTGAGGAAGTCTCAGGCGGGAACCCCCTCCCTATGGGGCCCGCAGATCATGTTACTAATCCGAGCGGGTCATCGGATTCCTGTAACTGTCGTCACTGTTGGGTTCCTCAGGTCTGAATTTGGAGGAAGTATCAAGCGGGAGCCTAGTCTGTGAGTGAATTGTGAGGAAGTCTCAAGCGGGAGCCCCCTCCCTATGGGGCCCGCAGATCACGTTACTAATCCAAGCGGGTCATCGGATTCCTGTAACTGTCGTCACTTTTGAGCTCCTCGTGTCTGAATTTGGAGAATATCAGGCGGGAGCCTCGTCTGTGAGTGAATTGCGAGCAAGTCTCAGGCGGGAGCCCCCTCCCTATGGGGCCCGCAGATCATGTTACTAATCCGAGCGGGTCATCGGATTCCTGTAACTGTCGTCACTTTTGGGCTCCTCAGGTCTGAATTTGGAAGAAGTATCAAGCGGGACCCTCGTCTGTGAGTGAATTGTGAGGACGCGTCATGCGGGCGCTCCCTCCCTATGGGGCCCGCAGATCATGTTACTGACAAGCGGGACCCTCGTCTGTGAGTGAATTGTGAGGAAGTCTCAGGCGGGAGCCCCCTCCCGATGGGGCCCGCAGATCATGTTATTAATCCGAGCGGGTCATCTGATTCCTGTAACTGTCGTCACTTTTGGGCTCCTCAGGTCTGAATTTGGAGGAAGTATCAAGCGGGAACCTCGTCTTTGAGTGAATTGTGAGGAAGTCTCAGGCGGGAGCCCCCTCCCTATGGGGCCCGCAGATCACGTTATTAATCCGAGCGGGTCATCGGATTCCTGTAACTGTCGTCACTTTTGGGCTCCTCAGGTCTGACTTTAGAAGAAATATCAAGCGGGACCCTCGTCTGTGAGTGACTTGTGAGGACGTCTCAAGCGGGAGCCCCTCCCTATGGAGCCCGCAGATCACGTTACTAATCCAAGCGGGTCATCGGATTCCTGTAACTGTCGTCACTTTTGGGCTCCTCAGGTTTGAATTTGGAGGAAGTATCAGGCGGGAGCCTCGTTTGTCAGTGATTTGCGAGCAAGTCTCAGGCGGGAGCCCCCTCCCTATGGGGCCCGCAGATCATTTTACTAATCCGAGCGGGTCATCGGATTCCTGTAACTGTCGTCACTTTTGGGCTCCTCAGGTCTGAATTTGGAAGAAATATCAAGCGGGACCCTCGTCTGTGAGTGAATTGTGAGGACGCGTCAGGCGGGAGCCTTCCTATGGGTCCCGCAGCTCACGTGGTTCCTCCGGGTCATCCTCCGGCGCGCGCTTCCTCTGGGTCGTCCTCCGGCGCGTATCGGCTGGGACGCACGTCGTGCGCTTCCTCTGGGTCGTGTTCCGCACGAGGACGAGGAGGAGGAGGATTGCCAGGAAAAGGAGGAGGGATGATGCAGGACGAGACAGGAAAGCAGGAAGAGGAAGAGGCTGAGGGGAGGAAGGACGAGGAGGAAAAGGAGGAGGAGGAATGCCCGAGGAGGCCCCAGTAGGTCCCGGAAGGCCCAGAAGGCTCCAGGAGGCCCCAAGAGGCCCCAGGAGGCCCCAGGAGGGGGCAGGAGGCCTAAGGAGGAGGCAGGAGGAGGAGGAGGAGGAGGAGGAGGAGGAGGAGGAGGAGGAGGAGGAGGAGGAGGAGGGAGGGGGGGGGAGGAGGGGGGAGGAATATGGAAACGAGGAGGAGGAGGAGGAGGAGGAAGCGGATGAGGGAGAGGGAGAGGAGGAGGACAGGGGATGAGGAGGAGGAGGAGGAGGAGAAGGGAGAGGGAGAGCAGGAGGAGGAGGCAGGAGGCAGGAGGGGCAGGGGGAATGGGGGGGAGGAAGCATAACGAGGGGGAGGGGGAGGAGGTGGAGGAGGCAAGAAGAGGAGGAAGAGGCAGGGGTTGAGGCAGGAGGAGGAGCAGACAGGAGGAGAACGAGGAGGCAAGAGTAGGTGGGAGAAGGGAAGGGGCAGGAGGATACCCCCATGCAAGCTAAAGAGATTCTCATGCGGGGTCCTTCCGTCGGAGTATTTTTTTTTGGGGGGGGGTCCCCCCGCCCGGGCTTATAACATATAGGGAGAGGAATATGCTAGAACCATCGCGCGCGCTTCGCGCGCGCTTTGGTTCTAGCCGAGGTCGAGGACAAATCGGGTCAAACTTCGTCGAAACGCGTCCGAAAAAGGTCGACGGAAAACTCGGACAAACATAGCCGAGCTCGTCCTTCTCGCTCGCGCTGCTTAGCGTCCTTGGCGTTCGCGCTGCCCTCTGACCGACTGAAGTCCGCTCAAAAGACCCCCTGAGGCCGAAAACCAGAAGACCTCGTCGAACCTCGACCCTCGATTGATCGGTCGTCGACTGGCGCCTGCGACGACGAGCACGACGACGGCGGAGGCGACGACGACGACGGCGGCGACGATGATGACGACGACGGCGGCGGCGCTGACGACGGCAAGGGCGACGACGACGACGACGACGACGGCGGCGCCGCCGCCGTCGCCGTCGAGGTCGTCGCCGCCCCTGCGCGGGGGGCGGGTCGCGGGAGTCTCTTAAGGGCCTCTCGGGGGGATCTTCCCCTCCATACACCCCCGCTGGGTTTGGCCTATTGGGGGGATCTCTTGGGGGCCTCTTGGAGCCTCTTAGGGGCCTCCAGGGGCCTCCTGGAACCTTCTGGGGGCGGAAGGGTCGGATTTTCGGGTCGGGCTCCCCCTCTTGGGCTCCTCTTGGAGCCGTCTTGGAGCTCTCCTAGGTCGTATTGGGGACCTCTTGGGGTGTCTTGGTCCCCTTCTCGGGACGTCTTTAGAGCCTCTTGGGCCGTTATGGGACTCTCTTGGAGGCCTCCTTGCACCGTCGCCACCGCTGTAAAGACCGACAAGTCGTAGATGCTAAGAATGTACGTTCTCTTATGCTAAATCCATGATTTGGGCCTCTTGGAAAGCCTCTTGGGGGCCTCTTGGGGCGTCTTCGCGGTCTGTTGGGCACTGTGAGAACCGTCTTGGGCGCCCAAGGGCTAGCTTAGAGCGCTCCGGGGCCGCCATGGAACGTTTTGGGAGCCTCATGGGGCCCTCTAAACACGCCTTGCCCGCCCCTTGGGCTGTCTTGGGTCGTGCTGGTAGCCTCTTGGGGCCGTTTTTGGGCCCTCTTGTACCGTCGTGCACGCCGTGAAGACCGAAAAGTCGTAGATGTTAAAAATTACATTTTCTTATGCTAAATCAATGATTTTGGCCGTTGGGGCTCCCTTGGGCCTCTTGGGCTCTATGGGAGCCATCTTGGGTGTCCAAAGGCGATCTTTGAGAGCCCTGGGGCCGTCTTTGACCGATTTGGGAGCCTCTTGGGGCTCCGTGGACACGTCTTGGCCGCCTCTTGAGCATGCCTTGGCTGCCTCTGGGGCTGTCTTGGGCTCCTATCGGGCCGTGTCGGGAGCCTCTTGGGCCGTCTTTGGGCCGTCGCGGGGGCCTCTTGTACCCTCGTGCACGCCGTGAAGACAGAAAAGACGTAGATCCTAAAAATGCACGCTTCCCATTGCAAAATCAATGATTTTGGCCGCTTGGGGCTCTGTTGGAAAGCAACTTGGGGCGTTGTAGCGGCTTTTTGGGCTCAATGGGAGCCATCTTGAGCGTCCAGGGGCGATCTTTGAGCGCCCCGGGGCCGTCTAGAACCGGTTTGGGAGCCACTTGCGCCTCCCTGGGCACGTCTTGGCCGCCTCTTGGCCCGGACAGGAGCGCTCCCGGAGCCCCAGAGCGGCCATGGGGGGCGCAGGTACCGGCCTGGCAGCCCCGATCCCCTTCCGCTGGCAGATATATACACCTATACGACCACCCTTTGGGTGATCGGAAGGTGAGGGGGGGAGGAGAAACCAACGTCTCACTCAATCGATCTCACTACTGATCCCACAATCGATTTCACAATCGATCGCACTCGATCGATCTCACTATCGATCTCACTCGATCGATCTCACTATCGATCCCACGATCAATCTTACTATCGATCTCACTCGATCGACCTCACTATCGATATCACAAGCGATTATGTTATCGGTCTCACGATCGATATCAATATCGATCTCAACGTCGATCCCACGATCGATCGATCTCACTATCGATACCGCTATCGATCTTACTATCGGTCTCACTATCAATATCATGGTCCATCTCACTATCGATCCCACGATCGATCTCGCTATCGACCGTACTATCGATCTCACTCGATCGATCTTACTATCGATCTTACTCGATCAATTGCACTGTCGATCTCACTCTCGATCTCACTATCGATCTCAATATCGATCCCACGATCGATCGATCTCACCATCGACACCACTATCGATCTCACTATCGATCTCACTATCGATCTCATGATCCATCACACTATCGATCCCACTATCGCTCTCACCGTCGATCCTACAATCGATCTCACTATCGATCTCCCTCGATCGATCTCACTATCGATCTCACGATCGTTTTCACCATCGATCTCACTAGCGATGTCACTATCGATGTCACGATCGATCTCACTATCGATGTCACGATCGATATCGCTATCGATCTCACGATCGATCTCACAATCGATTTCGTCATCGATTCTGTCATCGGTCTCACTGTCGTTTTCGCACCAGCGGGACACCGGGACACTGGCGGGACACCGGCGGGACACCGGCGGGACACCGGCGGGACACCGGCGGGCCACCGCGGGCCACCGCTTGCCAGAGGGAGAATCATTTGGTCCAGCCGGGGCCCAGCCACAAGCGGGACACCGGCGGGACACCGGCGGGACACCGCGGGCCACCGCTTGCCGGAGGGAGAATCATTTGGTCCGGCCGCGCCTCAGCCACAGGAGACTTTCCTCTCGCCCGCCCACGCAGCTTCGCCTCGCCCGCACGCACGGCACGCACGAACACGAAACCGCACCCGATTTCCCGGTGGGGGGGCTCTCCGTTTCACTTCAATCTCACCCCTCACCTCCGACATATTTATAAATATATATACATATATATATATGAGCCTGTGCATACACATGAAACACAATTACATGCATACCTACACATACCTATATCTACGTATACACCTACACATGAATATACATATGCATATGCCCATACGTTTGCACATTCATAGTCCTATATCCATGCAGTCACACATACATATGCATATGCATGTACAAATACCCATACACATACACATTAATGTACGTATCTATATCTGGTGGACGGGCCGTCTTGTGGCCCTCGTCGCAATCGCAGAGCACGTATGGTGTATGTATGGTCGGTCGGGGCCAAATGGTGTATCGTATGTATGCCCAATCGCCTATGTAGCACACTCTGGCCGTCTTGGGGCCGTCTAAGGGGGCTATTGGGCGGTCTTGGGGCTCTCTTCGGCCGCCTTGTGGGCCTCTTCTGTTGTGGTCATCAGCTGACTGTGGAGTTATTGCCATGATGCTTGAAAATGCGCACCTCCGTGCTGAGAAGCATGAAAACTCATAGAGAGTGCTCGCGCATGCACGTCATAATAGATACTCCTGCCTGAAGATCATATGCAGATCGGGCGCACATTTGGCGAGGGCTCTGCGCCGCAAAATACTGATGCCGCTAGAGGGGCGAGGTCGAGTAAATGCCGATCTCTCAGCACTCAGGCCCACCAAGGTTGGGATAAGCCTGCATCGAGGACCGAAACCCTAATTACAAAAACAGTCGGTCGGAAGAAGTGGGTGGGAACTTGAAGTAGGAAGGCGGATGAAGTAGATTGGGTTCAGGCCTTCCCAGAGAATAACAAAACGCAGCAAAAGCAGATCGATTATTGAAGTAGGAAGGCGCTTGAAGTTGATTGGGATCTGGGAATCCAGAAATACCTTTTTGCAACGACCATCGTGTATCACGAAGAGCATTCATTTAGGGCCAGGCGGGCAATTCAAACGAGCTGCGCACACCGAGCCTCACCAGCGTCTGCTCGCCCTGCGCTGCGAGCGCCCTGCTGCGCGAGGCTTACAGTGCCATGGGGGTGGCGCGCCAATGGACAGCGAGCGCGCACCCCCAAGAAGACTTGGCAGGTGACACTCTGGACGATGTCTTCAGTGAATGAGAGGAGCGAACCAGTGCTCCAGAAATGCCGGACTTGTACCCAGAAATGTGGCCTGTCCATTGAGGACGCGGTGAACAAAGCGCGTCTTGTGGGTCAATCGGGAGCTGGAGAGATAGAGGGACTATGTGGGAGCGGCGGTAAAAAGCAGCGGCTTCTGAAATAGCTCTCCCATAAACGCCGCCTTGTGGGCCTCTTGGGCCATGTTGGGGCGATCCTGGGGGCCCATTGAGCAGATTTGGAGCGTCGGAAGCCCGAACAGGCGAGAACGCGAACCTCATTGAACCATCCCAAGAAAAACCTCATTGAGGTCCTCTTAGAGACCTCTTCTTACCATCGTTCGGACGTCCATTCCGCGTGCATTGTTCGGTCTCGTGCGTCTTTGTCGCGAGATGATCTAAGATGCTCCTCGATGGTCCTCGCCGAAAAAAACGCGGCGAACTGCATCGAAAGAGGGGCCGTCCGTGCGGAGGCACTTAGCCAGACGCCGCGGCGGCGCCATATTCGCCTGCTCGGGCCCCGGTCCGCCCGGTGAACCCATCCAGGCGGGCTCTTCGGTCCTTCTCCCTGCTACCTTGATGGGCAACGACAGGGGGGGACTGGCATGGAGGGGGGGACATCGACCTGGAATCGGCGATACATCGCCGATAGAGCGGCTGTAGGCCCTTGATGCTGAATCCGCACGTTCCTGGGTGGGGGTGGGCCAGCGGGCCCGTGTGCGAGATGAGTGGACGATTGGGGGTCGATGCGTCCCCCCGATGCCTATGCCCCCCCGTGCCCTTTTCCATGACACCCCCCCACCCCTCTGGCCATCGCTCGGACGTCCATTCCCTGTGTGTTTTTCGGTTTCGTGCGTGGCTTTTTCGCGAAATGATCAAGGATATTCCTAGATGGTCCTCGCCGAAGGAAAAATGCACACGTCCGAGCGATGCCAAGCCCTCTGCACGTCTCGCTCTATTTTGCCGAGAAACGGGGGCCACTGATCGGCCCAGCAATCGCTGGGTCTTCTCACGGCCAGCACATACCTGCCAGCGCTGCAGCAGATTCAGCGATTCGGGCTAGGCGTCGCAAGCTTCACACGAGTGAAACATTCCGAAGGGAGGATCTTCGAGATAAGCCATACGATGGCTCGAATGCGCAAGTGCCCCACATTGAAACATGACTGCCCCGTCAGGTAGCCTGAAAAACTATTGCTCCTGTACAAATCAACGCGAAACAAATCAATCCTGCTTCTGAACAGACCGCGACGATGTCGGCGAGACGATCTGGCTCGTTAGAGGTCGCGAGCTAGGGCGCGGGCTAATATTGATGCCCTGCCCCTCCGCGAGCAGATGCACCTGCTCGGGCAGGTGCCGCAACTGCTGCAGCATCTCCTGCGCCCTCCCCACCGCCTTTTGCAGCTCGCGCATCTGGTGCACCGACGTGGTTCCAGTGTCTTCCGCCCTCATACCCAGATTGTAGTTCGAATCGGCGCAACAGAACCACACGTGCTCGTCAAGAAACGCCGAGGCCGTTCCTCGTCGCCCCTCGTCGTGAAAGAGGTCGCCCTCACCCTCCAGACACGGATCAGAAACACGCAGGCCCTTGTCACGGAGGCATCCCTGGAGAGGTGGCCCGTTCCTGTTACGGCACACTGCCAGCCATGCGCCGCCGTATTGCAAAGAGATGTCGAGGCAGATGGATGCGCGGGCGCGCACGAACAGCTCCAGGGCTTTCCCGTGGTTGTGATTGTACGCGTTGCCCATGACACCGATGTAAATGTTCGTGAGCATGACAACCACAAGCATAGCAGCGACTAAAAAAGTGATTTGTTGCACCCACGCCCAAGAACTCGTCCCATCATTTGCCGATTTGCCCAATAGGTTATCCGCCGCGAATTCACCCAGAAATCCCAATTCGTACGTCTGTCGGAATAAACCAATCCAAGATACTTCTTCCTCTGGGTAGAGCGCATAGAGGGCGTGCCACGCGGCCAGAATGAAGAAAACCATGACCGCAAGGAATGACACTCCTTCCTGGAGAGTGTAATGTATTGGGAGGAACTTCTGCCCTAGTCGGAGCGTCTGGAGCCCGCGAAGGTAGGTGACGATCTTGATCCACTTGAAGAAGCCCGCAGCCGCTAGCAGCGTCCGAAGGTACCCCTGGTCTTCTGGAGTGTTCGGCACAACGAGCAACACTAGCAAAGCAGCTACCGCGGCCACGCTCCCGAGATTTTTAAACGTGTTCATGTTCATGTACTCGTGCATCCATCCGCACCTCCAGAAGCCGATGAACTTGCGGATCTCATCGTGAACATTTTTCAGCAGCACTATAGCAACAACGGCGACTTCACTGACCGCCCAAGCATTACTCAGCTCAAAACTCCAGTAAGCCTCTCCTTTGCCGATCTGCCAGTGCACTTGCCAAGCGATGTAGAACAGGGCAACAGCACTCAGAAGGTCGAAGGTGAACTGCTGAACGTAGAGCGGCCAGGCGCGATTGAACGCGGCGAGGGAGATCGCCTGCGCGACGGCTGTCCTGAGCACGTCCTCTCGTGGCGTGAACGCAAGCGCGTGCAACATCACGGGGTGAAGCACATCGGGCGCGGTGATCCGCTTGATGGTTACGGGAGCAGCTCGGTGCTCCCCGGGCGGGGCGACGTAGCGCTCGACAACATCCCCGCCAGGCTTCCTGGCCAGCGCGTGGGCGTTCACATCCCACGACAAATTGGCCATCCTCAGGACCTCGCCGACCTCCTGGATGGGGAAGATCGTGTTCCACGCCGGGTCCGAAAACTCGTAGGCGAAGCCGCCCAAAGGTATCTTCTGCTTCAGCTCTGCGTCGGGCACCTCCATGACCCATGCGAAGCGGATGGCTTTTATGGTGCCTCCCTTGCCGTCGGGCACATCGCAGTCATGAGGGTGGCCCTCAGGGAGAGGGTGGAGGTCGCGGTCGATGTGCGCGGTGGCATCCTTGCTCAGGGACTCTGGCGCCCCGAAGGCGAACGCCTGATGCCCAGCAGACTTGCAGATCTGGTTTACCACCAGCGGCCTTGCGAGGCCGTCAAGGTAGAGCCACCCACCGAGTGGCAGCTTCGAGCACGGGTACACAAAGCTGAACGTCTCCGCGTTCAGTGGTATGAGGACGTCTGCGCGGCATCCCTTCGGGAGCGTGACCTTCGCCTCTGCGGAGGTCGGCGTCGGCTTCTCGGCATCCTGGAGCTGCAGCTCCCTGCTGTCTCTGTCATACTTGATGTGTTTGCTGATGTACCTCTCCTTGACGGCAGGTTCCGAATCACAGACCAAACATTGAATCACAGATAGCGCGCGGAGAATCGCAGACCGCGCGCGCCGAATCACAGAGAACACACATTGAATCAGACCGCGCGCGCCGAATCACAGACAGAACGCATTGAATCACAGACCGCGCGCGCCAAATCACAGATAACACACATTGAATCACAGACCACGCGCGCCGAATCACAGACAGCACACATTGAATCACAGACCGCGCGCGCCGAATCACAGACAACATTCATTGAATCGCAGACCGCACGCGAAGAATCACAAACAACACACATTGAATCAAAGACCGCGCGCACCGAATCACAGACAGAAAGCATTGAATCACAGACCGCGCGCGCCGAATCACAGAGAACACACATTGAATCACAGACAGCGCGCGCCGAATCACAGACAGAAAGCATTGAATCACAGACCGCGCGCGCCAAATCACAGATAACACACATTGAATCACATACCGCGCGCGCCGAATCACAGACAGCACACATTGAATCACAGACCGCGCGCGCCGAATCACAGACAACATTCATTGAATCGCAGACCGCACGCGACGAATCACAAACAACACACATTGAATCAAAGACCGCACGCGACGAATCATAAACAGCACACATTGAATCACAGACCGCACGGGAGGAATCACAGACAACACACATTGAATCACTAACCGCACGCGACGAATCACAGACCGCATATGTGGACACATATTCGGTTTCCATAAAAGAGCATCAACCGTAATAGCGGATTTTGGCTTCAATAACGGGACCCCGGCTTCCGGGCTTCCATAGTTCCCCACCATCTTAGGGTGTTGGGTCCTCGTTGTGAAGAGACGGTCTCCGCGTCTCCTCCTTCCTTCCTTCCTTCCTTCCTCCTCCCTCCTCCCCCTCCTCCCTTCTCCCTGCGTTTCACCCACCGAACACAGCGTTTCATAGCCCCATAGGGAGCTCCACCGAAGGCCACAGCGCCACCGCCCGCATGCGTCACCCTCACCCATTTCGGCACACCCCTCACACGTCTAGTGGCCCATAGGGAGCCCCATTGAAGGAAACAATGCCACCGCCCGCATGCGTCACCCTCACCCATTTCGGCACACCTCTCACACGTCTCGTGGTCCCATAGGGAACTCCGTTAAGGCGCCAGAGCCACCGCCCGCATGCGTCACCCACACACATGTCGTCACACCCCTCACACGTTTCGTGGCCCCATAGGGAGCTCCATGGAAGGCCACAGTGCCACCGCCCGCATGCGCCACCCACACACATGTCGGCACACCTCTCACACGCTTCGTGGCCACCTCTCACACGTCTCGTGGCTCCATAGGGAGCTCCAACGAAGGCCCCAGTGCCACCGCCCGCATGCGTCCGTCACCCACACCCATGTCGTCACACCCCTCAGACGTTTCGTGGCCCCATCGGGAGCTCCACCGAAGGCCCCAGTGCCACCGCCCGCATGCGTGATCACACCCATTTCGGCACACCCCTCACACGTCTCGTGGCCCCATAGGGAGCTCCACCGAAGTCCACAGTACCACCGCCCGCATGAGTCACCCTCACCCATGTCGTCTTACCCCTCACACGTCGCGTGGCCCCATAGGGAGCTCCGACAAAGGCCCCGGGTGCCGCTGCCAGTATGCGCCACCCACGCCCATTCTGACACACCCTTCACGCGTTCCGTGGCATAGGGAGCTCTGTTGAAGGCGCAAGTGCCACCGCCCGCATGCGTCACCCTCACCCATTTCGTCACACCCCTCGCACGTTTGGTGGCCCCATAGGGAGCTCCAACGAAGGCCACAGTGCCACCGCCCGCATGCGTCACCCACACCAATTTCGTCACACCCCTCACATGCTTCGTGGCCCCATAGGGAGCCCCACCGAAGGCCCTAGTGCCACCGCCCGCATACGTCACCCGATCACCGGATCAGTCAGATCACCCGATCAGTTTGGCCACAATCACTGGATCACCGGATCAGCTGGCCACAACACCGGATCACCAGATCAACTGGCCAGATCAGCCTGATCACCAAATCAGTTGGCCACAACACCAGGTCACCGGATCACTGGATCCACTGGCCCAATCACCAGATCAGCCGGATCAGCTGGCCACAACACCGGGTCACCAGATCACCAGGTCACAAGATCAGATGGCCCGATCAGCAGGTCACCGTTGCGTGCGGTCTGTGATTCAATGTGTACTGCTTGTGATTCGTCGCGTGCGGTTTGTGACTCAATGTGTGCTGTCTGTGATTCGGCGCGCGCGGTCTGTAATTCAATGTGTGATGTCTGTGATTCGGCGCGCGCGGTCTGTGATCCAATGTGTGGTGTCTGTGATTCGGCGCGCGCGGTCTGTGATTCAATGTGTGCTGTCTGTGATTCGGTGCGCCCCGGTTTCCGGGCTTCCATATTTCCCCATCATCTTGTGGTGTTGGGCCCTCGTTTTGAAGAAACGATCTCCGCGTCTCCTCCTTCCTTCCTTCCTTCCTTCCTCCTCCCTTCTCCCCTCCTCCCTTCTCCCTGCGTTTCACCCACCGAATACAACGTTTCGTAGCCCCATAGGGAGCTCAACCGAAGGCCACAGCGCCACCGCCCGCATGCGTCACCCATTTCTTTTCGGCACACCCCTCACACGTCTCGTGGCCCATAGGGAGCTCCATTGAAGGAAACAATGCCACCGCCCGCATGCGTCACCCTCACCCATATCGGCACACCCCTCACACGTCTCGTGTCGCCATGGGGAGCTCCAAGGAAGGCCCCAGTGCCACCGCCTGCATGCGTCACCCACACCCATTTCGCCACACCCCTCACACGTCTCGTGGCCACATAAGGAGCTCCATGGAAACAGTGCCACCGCCCGCATGCGCCACCCACACCCATGTCGGCACACCTCTCACACGCTTCGCGGCCCCATAGTGAGCTCCACCGAAGGCCCCAGTGCCACCACCACCCGCATGCGTCCGTCACCCACACCCATGCCGTCACACCCCTCACACATTTCGTGGCCCCATCGGGAGCTCCACCGAAGGCCCCAGTGCTACCGCCCGCATGCGTCACCACACCCATTTCGGCACACCGCTCACACGCTTCGTGGCCTCATAGGGAGCTCCACCGAAGTCCACAGTGCCACCGCCCGCATGCGTCACCCTCACAAAGTTCGTCTTATCCCTCACACGTCTCGTGGCCCCATAGGGGAGCTCCGACAAAGGCCCCAGTCACTGCCCGTATGCGTCACCCACGCCCATTCTGGCACACCCTTCACGCGTTCCGTGGCATAGGGAGCTCCGTTGATGGCGCCAGTGCCACCGCCCGCATGCGTCACCCTCACCCATTTCGTCACACCCCTCGCACGCTTCGTGGCTCCATAGGGAGCTCCAACGAAGGCCCCAGTGCCACCGCCCGCATGCGTCACCCACACCTATTTCGTCACACCCCTCACATGCTTCGTGGCCCCATAGGGAGCTCCACCGAAGGCCCTGGTGCAAACGCCCGCATACGTCACTGGATCACCGGATCAGCCGGATCATCGGATCAGATTGGCCACAATCACTGGATCACCGGATCAGCTTGCCAAACACCGGATCACCAGATCAACTGGCCAGATCAGCCTGATCACCAAATCAGTTGGCCACAACACCAGGTCACCGGATCACCGGATCCACTGGCCCAATCATCAGATCAACCAGATCAGCCGGATCAGCTGGCCACAACACCGGGTCACCAGATCACCAGGTCACAAGATCAGATGGCCCGATCAGCAGGTCACCGTTGCGTGCGGTCTGTGATTCAATGTGTGCTGTTTGTGATTCGTCGCGTGCGGTTTGTGACTCAATGTGTGCTGTCTGTGATTCGGCGCGCGCGGTCTGTAATTCAATGTGTGGTGTCTGTGATTCGGCGCGCACGGTCTGTGATCCAATGTGTGGTGTCTGTGATTCGGCGCGCGCGGTCTGTGATTCAATGCGTGCTGTCTGTAATTCGGCGCGCGCGCTCTGTGATTCGGCGCGCGCGGTCTGTGATTCAATGTATTCAATGTGTAGTGTCTGTGATTCGGCGCGCGCGGTCTGTGATTCAATGTGTGGTGTCTGTGATTCGGCGCGCGCGGTCTGTGATTCAACGTTTGGTCTGTGATTCGGAACCCCCCATCTCCTTGATGTACCTCTTCACGTACAGCGTGTCGTGGGCGAACGGGAACGGCCTGACCTTGTACCTGCGCACAGGGTTGGGATTGTGATGGCCGCTGTTGCGGAAAACCACCATCTCTTCGGCCGCGTCGTCCAGAACCCGCGCCGCCATCGGTGTGTTCACGAGCAGCAGGTTGGACAGCAGGCAGGTCCTCTGGGTGAGCTCCCTCGCCAGCGGGTTCTTGGCGATACCCACCTTCTCGTGCCTCCTCGATTTCGGCGCGCACGTCAGCTCCTGCAGCGCCAAATTCTCCTCGTGCTCCTGGTCCTGGAACAGCTCCTCCGCGAGGCTCGGGTACCAGCTTAGGTGGACGATGAAAGACTTTACGAGGTCAAGCAGGTAACCGCCCTCGTCGGCTGCCGGGACGCACAGCCTGCACTGTCGTGGATCCCACAACCCCTCGTCGTACAGCGAGGAAAGAATGTTCGTATTGCCCCTGCTCGCTGCGCCGCGTACGACGGAGTCAATGGCGTCCTGGTCCGAGGCGTACGTGTGTTCCTCGATGCCGAGGCCGTCTCGCAGCCAGGCGCATACCTCTATGCCTCGCCCTCGCTTAGGCAGCTGCCAGTCCTTCGGTTTCGCCTGGGCGGCCTGCTCGAACTCTATGGCGGGGCGCGCCTGCCTGTCCGACCGGCAGCTCGCTGACGAGGGCCCGCGTTTCGGAGCATTCGTACAGGCGTTTGTCGACCACGCATTGTGAATGGACGACTGCATGGCCGCGACGCGCCCACTGACGGCCAGCCAGCAGCCTGAGGACCTGGAGCATCCACAGACCTTGAGCCAAAATGATTAGGGATCCCCTTGGAGCCCTTCTGGAGCGCCTCGGGGGGAAAGACCAGCGGGATATGAAATTCCCACCCGCCCTCTGGGCGACAGGTGGTCTAACGATATTATTTGTCTCCTCTCCCTACCCCCTCCCCTGGACCTGGACGGGGGGGTTCGCGAGCAGTTGGAGCGCCCGGGATGGCCCAAATTGGCTCCAAGAGGGCCTCAGAGAGTCCGAGATGGCCTCCAAGATCGCTCAAGATAACCAAACATGGTTCAAGACAGCTTCCGACATTCCTTCAGGAGGCCCAAGAGGGCCACAAGATAGATCCAAGTGCTTTGGGAGCTCCCTCGGGGCCCTCCCGAGAAGCCAAAATCCTTCAAACACCTAAGGAAAATCAGTGATTGTTGCCTTCTCGCCTTTTCGCTTCCGATGCGTTCTGGAGGCGTCAACATGGCCCCAACATGGCCCAAGAAAGCTCCAAGAGGGGTCTAAGAGGCCCCCAAGACGGCCCTAAGAGCGCCCAAGATCGCCCCAAGAGCGCCCCAAGAGGGCCCCAAGAGGCGATGTTGATGGCCCCGGAGGGGGAGGCAAATCTAGGACCCCCCCTCCTTTGATCGATGGTCTCCAAGACGGCCCCAAGAGGCGCTCCAGGGCTACCAAGAGAGCCCCAAGAGAGCCCCAAGAGGGTTCCAACAGGGTCCCAAGAGGGCCCCAAGAGGTACCCGAGAGGCCTCCGAGCGGTCTCAGAGAGCCCAAGATGACCTCCAAGATGGCTCAAATAGCCCAAGCTGGCTCAAGATGGCTCCCAAGATTTTCCAAACGGCCCCAAGACCGCTCCAAGAGCGCCCAAGAGCGCTCCAAGAGAGCCCTAAGAAGCGGTTTGCGGGCCCCTGAGGGGGGAGCTGAGTTGGGACCCCCCCCATCCCATAACCGCTTGTTCCCAAGATGATCCCAAGAAGCCTTCCAGGGTTACCAAGAGGGTTCCAAGAGGGCCCCAAAAATTCCCAGAAAGCACCAGCAGCAGCAGCCGCAAGAATACCTCTAGATGGTTCCATGAGTCCTCGTCCGCGTCGTCCTCATCCTAGTCCTCGTTCTCCTCGTCCTCGTCCTCATCCGCATCAACGTCCTCCTCGTCTTCCTCGTCCTCATCCTCCTCCTCCTCCTCCTTCTCCTCCTCCTCCTCCTTCTCCTCCTCCTCCCCTTCCCCTCGCCCCCACGCGGCCCCCAGGGATGGCCCGAAGAGGCCTTCCAAGGCCACCCCCTTGCTCCCAGAGATCTCTCGGTTCACCCTGGTTGCTCGCTTTGTTTCTCTAGATGTGTATCTTCGTCCTTTTTTCCGTCAGCTCTCATGGGCAGGGCTTCTGAATGGGCTGGTGGGGATACTTCTTACGAAGCGGCCGCAAGCGGAAGCGCAGGCGGCTTCCGAAGTCAGCCCGGGCTACGAGCCAAACCTAATTACCTAAGCGCGCGAACTAGCGGCCACCGAAACTGCCGCCAAAGTTGGCCCAAGATGGCCTCCAATATGCCTCGAAGACGGCCAAGATGGCCTCCAAGACACCTAATATGGCTCCAAGATAGCTCCAAGATGGCCCAACATGCACCCAAGACGGCCTTAGTCTCAACATGACCCACGACGGCCCAAGAGGCCCCGAAGAGGCATCCAAGACGGCCCAAATGGTCTCCAAGAGGTCCTCCAGGAAGGCCCGAAAAGGCCAACAGAATTGATTGTCCTTAAAGTTTGAAGGTTTTTTTGCAGTCGGCCACCCGACGAGACCCCAAAATGCACATGTCAATGCCTTTCATGCACAAGATGACCCCAAAAGGACTCCAGGATGCCTCCAAGACGGGCAAGATGGCCCAAGATGGCTTCCAAGTCCGCCTAAGATAGTCCAAGATGGCTTCCAAGACGATCCAAGAGGGTCCAAGATGCCTCCAAAACGGCCCAAGAGGCCTCCAAGAAGTCCTCCGCGAGGGCCCGCAGAGGCCAAATCATTGGTTGTCATAAGGTTTTTGGAAGGATTTTGGTATTTGCTTTTTTTCGGCCTTCCGACAGCCCAAGACGGCCCAAGAGGTCCCCAAGATCGCCCCAAGATCGCCCAAGAGGCCTCCAAGATGGCTCCATGACGGCCCAAGAGGCCTCCAAGACGCCCAAGATGGCCTCCAAGACGGCGACGATGGCCCCCAAGATGCCTCCAAGACGGCCAAGAAGGCCTCCAAGACGGCGAAGATGGCCCCAAGATGCACCCAATACGGCCCCAAATGGCCTGAAGATAGCCTTGGATTTCCCAAAAGGCCCACCAAAGGCCTCCAAGACGGCCCAAGACCCTTCCAAGACGTCCCCAGGAAGATCGGAAACCACCTGGTCCGATAGCTCGCCGCGAAAGCTTTCGAGACCCACTCGGGGAACACGTGGCCCGATAGCTTGGCCAAGCTCAAACCCAACTTTCGGCCACGCAGGCGCTTCCAAAAAAGCAGGAGGCGGCGGTGATTCGCCGTAGGCGTCTTCGATAACGCCAACGTCTCAATATGCGCTGATGATTGATACCCGCCCCCGCATGATGTTCCCAGATGCGCCAAGGCAGCGCCCAGACGCACTGACGCGACTCTAATAGATCCCATTATGATAGAGAGGGGGCCGGCGGCAGGGGGCGAAGCCCTCACGGATAAAAGTGAAACGGCGCACAGGAGGAGGAGGAGGAGGAGGAGGAGGAGGAGGAGGAGGGAGCGAGTGAAACGGCGCCTAGGAGGAGGAGGGAGCGAAAGGGGCACTGCAGGAGGTCGAGAGCTCCTGGAGGGGGGGCGGCCTCCCCAAGGCGTGCCCCCCCCCTCCCCTGGGCGCGATTCTCCGATGGGGGATACACCGTGGACCCGCACAGTATGGACCGCCACAAAGGATGCAAGGCTGCTGGGCGCTCAGGCAAGGACGCAGGGGTGCCTGGGGAAAGCTGCCCACGATTGCCACTCGGGTCCACCGCGGAAAGCGTCCCCTGTATCCCCCCGTGACCTGGGCGCACCTTCCCAGGCCAGCGTAGGACGTCATAGGGCTTCGACGAGGGGGGGGAGAGAGAAGGGAGGGGGGGGGAGAAAGGAGGGAGGGAGCAGCCAGAGAAGACACCGGTCAGGAGTGCAAGCTAACCAGCCAGCGCGAGAAGCGCGGCACAGGCAAAACAGATGCGGTTCGAGACACAGGAGAAGTGCAATCTACCTATACGACCACACTTCGGGTGATAAGGAGGTTGGGGGGTGGGGGGGAAATTATCAACTGCTGGCAGATTCGATGGGTGTAATGCGACGATGCTGGTGACGCGCCCTCGAGTTAGCGACGACGCGTGATGACGATGTTGCGCTGCGATTAAATGTCACGATCGTTCTCACTATCGATCTCGCTTTCGATCTCGCTATCGATCTCACCATCGATCTCACTATCGCTTCCTCTATCCATCTCACTATCGATCTCACAATCAATGTCACAATCAACCTGACTGTCGATCTCACCTTTGATCCCACTATCCATCCCATTATAGGGACCCCCTTACCGATCTCAACATGTCGACTTCACTATCCGCCCGCCCACCGCCGACGGAACACCGACGGGACGCCAACGGGACACCAACGGGCAAGACACCACGGCGTGACCCAGGCCAACACGCACGCGCCCACCGGGGGCGGAGTGGCGGTCCACTGAATCCGAATCGCCCTAGCGACGGCGGGGTCATTCCTCTCGCGCGCCGACGCAGCTTCGCCTCGCCCGCACGCGCGACACGAAACCGAAACCGATTTACCGGTGGTGGGCTCTCCGTTCCACCGCGATCTCACCCCCAACCTCCGATAGCAAGATACGTAAAGCACATGGGTTTCGAGCCCCAGGAAAGGGGCAATCTACAGGAACATACGTAAGACACATCAGACTCGAACCAAAAAAAAAGAAAATCTATAGGACACACGTGAAGCATACGGGTTTCGAACCCCAGGAAAGGAGCAATCGATAGGACCATACGTAAACACACATCGGATTCGAACCCTAAGAAATGAACAACCCAGGAACACACGTACAACCGCATAGGAGTCGAGACCCAGGAGAGGGCAATCCGTGGGAACAAATGTAAAACACAAGCGGTATTCGTGCCCCAGAATATTGGCAAACGATAGGAGCATACTGGAAAAATGTTTCGAGCCACATGAGCGGGGCAGCATACAAGAATAGATGCACAGCACATATGATTCCAGCCCCAAGAAGCGGGCAATCGATAGGAACGTACGTAAACCACGTGCGATTCGAGCCACAGTAGAAGGGCAATCGATAGGAACATACGTAACACGCGCAGAAATCGAGCCCCAGGAAAGGAGGAAAGGAGCGATCGATAGGAACGCATGTAAGACACAGCAGATTCGAGCCCCATGAAGAAGCAGGAAAGGGGCAGATGTAGGAACAGTCTTAAACACAAACAACATTCGAGCCACAGGAGAGGGGCAATCGATAGGAGCGTACGTAAAACACATAGGAGACGAGCCCCATGAAGAGACAACCGATAGGAACATGTGTAAAACACATTGGTTCCGATCCCCAAGCAAAGGACAATCCAAAGGAGCACAAGTAGAGCACATACGATTCGAACCACAAAAGATATACAATCCATGCAAACATGCGTAAAACACACGGGTTTCGAGACCCAGGAAACGGGCAATCGATAGGAGCATATGTAAACACACATTGGTTTCCGAGCCCCAGGGATGGGGCAATCTGTAAGAGCATGCGCAAAACACATGCGATTCGAGCTCCAGGAAACGTGCAATCTATAGGAGCATACATAAAACACAAAGGATTCGAGCCACAAGAAAAACGGCAATCTATAGGAGCATACGTAAATGACGTCGGATTCGAGCCACGGTCGAAGGGCAATTGATATGAACAGATGTAGAAGGCTTGCAGCCAAAGCACCATAGTAACTTTCGCTTCTGAACCAAATCGAGCCAGAACGCCATGGGGAGCGCTGCAGGACCGTGA